ATTTATATCGTTTTCGAATTCTATCACATCCATTCGAAACATCCATTAACCACGATAAAATATTGAAATGAAAAATACAGAAAAAAATACGGGGAGTGGGCTGGGGCGAGGGGAAATTAAAGTGGGGGGATGTACGATAAAACAACAAAACTCATTTTCAATTAATAAAATTAACCTGATTTTTATCAAACCGAATCCTGCCTGTTTTCGATACTTGAAAACGTTTCGTACTCAACACGCATACGCACACCATTATTTTTCCTTTCAAATTTAGAAAATGATTATTTTCTTGCTGCAGATACTACCACATCCTTGGGGGGTGGGGGGGGAAGGGAAAAAGGGAAAAAGAAAGAAAGAGAAAAACTAAAATTAAATTATTTCTTCTGGCAATGAAAATGTGACGTTTGATTGATATGCGCTTAGTGTGCTTTTCAAAGAGTTAGGGATCACCAAAACGAAAAAAGTTTCATAGATAATTTTTTTCCTCCTGGCGACATTTTTCCATTTTCCCCCCCCCTTTTTTTTTTTGTTCTTTAATTAATTAATTTTTTTTTTTTTTTTCATAACCGATTAACAAAAAAATATTCACATCATAATATTAATCACATCCTTCGAATTTCATAATCGTTTATCGATTCGTAAAGGGCTTTGAATTTAAAAAAAATCCCATTTAAAGTAATAAAAAAAAAAAAAAAGTAATAAAATTATTTCAATCGAATACGAGGAAAACTAAATGCTAAATAAAAAATTAAATTAAATTAATAAACTACTTTTAAGATTACGAGATACCAACAATATTGCGACAAGTAGCCAACTCACTAAACTACTCAAGTTTGTTTCAAATGGCAAAAAAGTAAAAAAAAAAAAAAAAAATCAAGTTTTTTTTTTTTTTTAAAAGTTTTCACAATATTATTATTATTATTATTTTTTTTTGCATTTCATGTAAATGAATAACATAAAAGACAATTAACATAAAAATAAAAATAAAAATTTAAATCATCACTGATATTTACACCCAAATGATTTCGAACATCGTGGGAGAACCACACTGGAAGCCATATTATCACACAATCGTTAAAGGGTAATTTTTAAAAAAAAAAATTTTCAATGATTTAAAAAAAAAAAAAAAAAAAACAGCAAATTTACAAGATTTGTGACTTATTAATTGAAATTTCCCACCCACACACACACATCATTTGAAATAAATGATAGTTCGAGCATTCATCCAGAAAACCTGGATTAAATACTCTATGACTTTGACAAAGCACACACGCCCCGTAACGTACAAAAGCCAAAATAAAACTAATACGAAAGTTGCGTTGTTGGTAGCAATTTTAAATTCCCTGTTTAACTTATGACAAGCGCAAAAACAACAAAAAGGTTACTTTTCAAAGGTATTATTCGTGATTCCAATTTTTCAACACTACACATCACAATTTTACTCCTCTCCTTTTACAAAGTTAAAATTACATTATTATTACTAAATTTTTATACTAAAATCAGTAATAGTTTCAAACCAACAAAACAAAAAAAAAAAAAAACAAAAATGGTTGGAAAAACAAAACCAACGCCCAAATATTAGGACCATCACCACCACTACCCCCACTTTTCCTATGTTTCAAAAAAAAAAAATTAATTAAACTGAAGAATGAAAAAACCACAAAAAAAAAAAAAATTTTTCCTTTTTTTTTTTGGATTTCGAACTAACTTTTTTTTTCCTTTTTTCCTTTTTTTCCTTTTTTAAATACAATACACATTAAAAAGATGGTTGCATGCCCGCGTGAAATTTCAAACGAGAATATAATGCTTTTTTTTTTTCACCCCTTTGCCTTTTTTTAATTTGAATAATTTTCTGGGCGAATTAATAAACTTTGCTGACAAGAAAAATGGACTTTTCCTTTTTTTTCCCCCGCCCGCCATTTTTTTTTTTTTTCCGTTTTGAATTTAAATTCGATCAAGAGGGATAAAATTTTTTTTAAATAAATGATTTAAACAAATGAAAATTTTCTAAAAATTGTTTTAAAAAATTCAAATGCACCGCGAGTAGTAGCGTTCACAATAAATAACCACCGATTGAGAAGGGGGGAGATGAGGGATGGGGTTGGGGGGAAGGGGACAAAAAAAGGGGGAAACAAAAAAAAAAAATACGTAAAAAATTACAATAAACAATAATGATAAATAAACTATTTAACAGTCGATTAAAAAAACGTAACCAGAACAATCAAAAACCGTAAAAAATTTATATTATACGTATTAAACGCCAGAGAGAGAGAAAGAGAGAGAGTGAGAGGGAGAGAGAGGGAGATCAAAGAAACGGAACGAGGCTATATTAAAGTGAAGTCCCGGGACTGTAGCGGATCATAAAATTTGTACATAAAATGAATAGAAACAAGAAATGGATTGACAGAGAGTGAAAATGGCCGTGGCAACCTGTTGCTCGTGATAGTAAAATCAAATCGGCCACGTTTGATGACTTTGTTTTTACGATTATGACGGAAGAGGCTATTATTTCCTACTGTAATAATTTTATACAGTTGTCGTACTTTTTTCTCTCTCTCTCTCTCTCTCGAACAAAAAAAAAATATGTATAAGCACAATAATAATAATAATAATAATTTTAAAATAAAATAAAATTGAAATTCCTAATAATCCATTCAGAAATGAATATTTTTAAATAAATATATATATATATATTAAAATTAATACGTTTATCTTAGGGTACATTTTTAAAAAAAAAAACTGCAAAAAGGAGGCGTAAATTTTACTTTAAAACCCCCCCCCTCCCCACATGATAACTGCATTAAATAAAACAAGGTTAAAAAAAAAAAAAACTTTTGAAGCATTAAGGAAAGAAAAAATAAAAATCGAAAGATACTATATATAAGCTGGTACTCTAACTAACTGACTAACCTTATACCTTTTGCCTTTTCCCCCCAAAAGCCTGAGAAAAGCTGATAAAAGTAAAAAAAAAAAAAAAAGTTGGCATATTTCTTTTAATCCTATGAATTATATATAAGAGAATTAAAATGTGAAATGAAAAGTTTAAAAGGGATAAAATAATAATAAAAAAAATTTAACTTCACTTTTAACAATTTTTTTTTTTTCAATCTTCTCATCGATATCCTTCATCAATTTTTATGTATGAGAAAGTTTTAAAAAAAAAAATTATACAAATAATTAATTATTTAAAACTTGAGGACTTGAAATAGTTAAAAACAAAATAACTATATCATTGAGGCAACTTGAGGAAAACTTTAAGCAGAGGGTAAAGAAAATTCGGGTGAAGACACACACACACATCACACAACAACATCTTATATATTCAACGCATTAATACTAATTTTTATAGTAATTCAAATTTACACCTTACTCAACCTTATAACGAGGGCAAAGTGAAAAAAAGGAAGCTTATAAATTCATATTAATTTTTTTTTTTTTAAATGGCGATGAAAATCCTAGTCGGGATTCTCTCTCTCTCTCTCTCTCTTATTAATAGCATTTTTATTTTCACTTTAACAAATTTATGTACCCACTTCAAGCCACTTTGGAAAAAAAAAAAAAAAAAATTTCAAGACTTTTTTTTTTTTTTTTTTCATTTTTTTTTTAAACTTTGATTTACGATTTTGAATTTATATTTTAAAAAAAAAAAAGGCCACCCCCTAGGCCCTTAGCCATATCCCTTTTTTTTAATAAAAATTCAGGCCCCTTTGGCAATTTTTTTTTTTTTTTTTTTTTTCATTTCAATATTTTCCCTTATATTAAAAACCCAAACCCCCCCCCCCCCCCCCCCCTTGAAAATTAAATCAAAGTTTTTGTTTTTGATTTAGTTTAGTTTTTTTTTTTTTTTTTTTTTTTTTTTTTATTTCATGTGAAATAAAAAAAAAAAAAAAAATGGATGTAACCTACTTTTCCTACGACAAAAGACTAAAAATTCAGAAGCAAATACAATCAGAAAACGTATATACAATTATTTAATTTTAATTTTAATGAAAAAAAATCTATTCAATAGGAGATTTTAAAAGTCGACATATTTGTAAAAAACTAAACTATAGAAACAGCGAAAAATACAAAGGGTAAAAAAAAAAAAAAAAGAAAAAAAAAATTAGCGCATGGCGTGTTAAGAAAACAACCATTTAAACGACAAAAAAAAATACGAAATTTCATAATTTAATAACCCGACAATTATTATTATTATTATTTTGATTCTCATAATTAAATGCTAAATCACACAAACAGTAACAACATTAACGTTGTTTAAAAATTTTTTTTGCAATGTTTGAAAAACAAAAAAAAAAAAATTATGCAGAACGATTTTTAGTAAAACCCATTTTAACGTAGAAAAAAATTTTATTTGAAATCACGTAAGAATAAATTTATTATGACAAAACTCTTTTTTTAAAAAAAAAAAAGGAGGCGTACAAAAAAAAAAAAAAAATTCTGCATTACGTTGAAAACCTGAATAAAAAAAACGACCTTAAAGGTAGTAGTAGTACTCGGGACGAGCATGCAAACACCATGTATAAAACCAATCAATCCTTCTTTATATATATATAGTTTTATAAACTACAACTACTAATTCTACATTGAAATTTTGTATTCTGCTAAAAAAAAAAAAAAAAGTCTTGTTGGCCTTTCATCGACAATCCATCCAAACGTTACTTCAACCCTTAAACACTCGCAAAATATTTTTCCTAACAAATAAATTTAAACAAATTTTTTTGTAAACTTTAATTATGGCTTCGTGGGAAAAAAAAAACAAAACGACCGAAAAGGGGAAAAAAAAGGTAAAGACAAAAGCGAAACCCTTTTTTTTTTTTTAAAAAAAGTAATTAGTTTGTTTAAAATAAAATGTCGTATTGGGCCATAGCACAACCAAGACAATCGTACAAACAATGAATTAATTATCAATTTTTTACAGGTATAGAAAAATTAAAAAACAATTCCAAATTAAATTGAGGCAGGCGGATACGACGGGGAAAAAAAAAAAAAAAAAAAAAATGTTACAAATTTAAATTTAAAACGACTGACTCGTCTCGTAAACAAATAAAAACCTGATAAAAAAAAAAAATTAACCCGAAATGGAAAAGCCTTAATTTTAACAACCGTGTAAAAGTAACCGCAGAGGTACCTTCTACAAACTTATACATCACACTAAAAATTTTTTTTACAAATTCAAATTATTATCAGGTTTTCAAAAATCACGTAAAGAAAATTATGTTAATATTTGACACGCGAAATTTATTAAACCTTTTTTTTTTTTTTTTTTTTTCATACTCCTCGGCATCCTTATTATTATTATTATTATTATTTTTACTCGCCAATAGCAACAGATTAAAAAACAACTTTTTTTTTTTTAAATTAATAATATTATTTGAGAATACAAAACAAAACGAAACGAAAAAAAATTCATTTTTAATACATACAAACGTATTAGTTTTTTCTTTCCTTTTTTTTTAACATAAAATTTATTAATGATTTAAACCAAGATTAAAAAAAAAAAACCATGCTTTGGAGTAGAATAAAAAAAAAAAATGATCAAAACCAATTCAGTAAAAAGAATTATAAAAATTTAAAAAAAAATCTTTACAAAAGAATCAGGCTCCACTATTGTCAAACCTTAAAAAAAATTTATGTGGACCAGGATGTTGTTTATTTTTTTCCGAGAATTTTAAGAGAAACTAGGCTTTCAAGTTTTTTTTTAAAAAAAAAAAATTTTATCTTGGATTTTTTTTTTTTTTAAATTATTTTGAACAGAACTCATTTTTTTTTTCTTTTTTTTTTTTTAAATTGTACAAGTTAATTCGTTTTTTAAATTTTTTTTCCCTTATTTGAGAATTATAAGTTAGGACATTGCCCTTACACACCAATGACTAATAATCTTTTGCTAAAATGATGTTCCCATTTAAATTTATTTAAAAAAAAAAATTAATTAATTTTACCGCGTTTTTTCCTCTCTTTAAAAACAACATTTTCTACCAAAAAAAAATTTCTTATTAATTAATTCAAATTATTTAATCATCATCATCATCATCATCATCTTCGTCGAGAGAGAGAGAGAGATAGGGGGGAGGGGGGAAACAGCTTCAAAACCTTATAAAGACGTTAAAACAAAAAATGACCGCCCTGTTATTTTAAATTATCATTACGATACAATTTATACACATCATGCAAACAAACAAACAAACAAACAAACGAAATATTTTTTCAAATGATACAAAAAAATTCGTAACCGTGAGATTTTCCGAAACCGAAAAACAAAAATGAAAAAAGAATAAAAGTAATCAAAATTTTTACTCACTTAAGAAGTAAATTTCTCACAAAGGTGTGAGTTGAATTTTTTTTTTTTTTAGAAGTAGACACACATTAAAACTATTAAAAACTATTATTGAAAGCCAAAAAGAGAAGAAAAAAAAGAAAAGAGGAAATAAGGGGGAAGGGGGAGGGGGAGGGGAGGAAATAAGCAAATATAAATATAATGATCACTTACCCGTTTTTTCCTTTATCTCGCAAAGAACGCTAAACAACGCCGGTTTCATTCTGTGACAATTCAACGTGTGTTTCCTATAAAATATAATCAAATAATTAATATTAACGGTCAATAAATATTTTTTTTTTTTTTTTTTTAACAACAAATAATCAATCAATTCATAATAAATATCATAACTCGTATAGACAATTAAATCGATTAAAAAAAAAAAAAAAAAAAAAAAATGAATCGAATCGAGAGCAAATGAAAAGAAAATTTAAATAATAACAATTTGATAAGCCGCCACCCCCCCTTCCCTATTTAGCGTTTTTTTCGTCACATTCGGGGAAGGAGGGGGGGAGGGGGGGGTTGGAAAAATTTTTTTTTTTTTAAAAAATAAAAAACAAAATTTTTATAAGTCAAATAACCATGTCGTCGGCAAAAACTAATTTATGGTACAATTAAATGGTAATAAATAACTGAAAGAGCAACTAATCAGCGCTACAATGTTGTTTGACATTTTAATGTCAAGGGAAATGATAAAATGCACATCAAAATAGACCCGATGATAATGAGCTATGACAACACATTTCGTTTTTTTTTTTTACTCTTATGCACCAAAAAAAAAAACCAATAATAATAATAATATAATAAAATCTCTTATACTCTAAGAAAATTTCTTTTAAAAAACAATCCGACGCGGCGGTAGCGTTCGCTATATGTTTTTACACACCTGTTAATTAAGTAGTAATATAATAAAAATAAAATTAAACATGGCCGTTATCCATAAAATGCAATGATGATAATAAATAAATAAATAAATACGAAATTTCGAGAAAAACAAACAATTACTATAATCGATTATTTAACACATTACACGTCGCTTACTACTTTTGTTGTCATAACCGTTGATTATCAACAAACACCTAAAAAACAATTTAAAAAAAAAAATTTTTTTTTTTTTCAATAAAATCATACAGGTAACCATTTTATTTAACTAATAATAATAATAATAATAATGAAAAAACCTCGTTAAGAAATAAATAATTGAAAATTGACGGGGGAAAAAAAAAAAAAAAAAATGTATAAAAACTATCAGAGAATGAACTTTTCCGACATTCTTAAGACAAAATTTTTCTCTTGTATTAAATTTGAAAAAAAAAAAAAAACCGACGAAATTTTCAGGTATTTTCAACAATAATTTGAAATTGTTTCCCGCCCCCCTCCACTAATTAAATAAAATTTCGAATGACTTAGAATAAAAAAAAAAAAAAAACTAGAAACTTTCTTCTGCTGGATACGTAGACAATAACGTTTCTTGAGATGTGAAAATAATAATAAAAAATAAAGATCGATTGTATTTTAAAATAAAAAACTGTAAATGTGCAAGTTAAAAAAAAAAAAAAAAAAAGAAAACCTCAGGTATACTACACAATGAGTAGGGAAAAAAAATAATAATAATAATAATTTCTTGCCGGTTCAACGTGAATCCGACGGAAGTACAAGATTAATATTTGATTTTTTTTTTTTTTTTTGTTTATATGGTATCCGCAATGTTATAGTTTACCGCCGTGTAAATAATTAAAACTTTTTTTTTTTTTGGATTTAAATCCAAATTGAGATTAAGATTAAGATTAAGGAAATATTTACCTCGCTTGAGCCTCGTCCAGAGATTGATCCGTAATGTTCATTATTTGCTGAAGAATTTCTGCGATATCCTGTTTTCGGGTTTCCCCATCGGGAGTAGCAGGAGTCCCGTGATTTGGATCTCCCGCATTCATTCCATAAGGTTGTGCCATCATTCCGACTTGTCCGCTAGGGTGCATTATTCGAAAACGATCGTTTTTAAATAATAATAATAAAAAAAAAAAAAAAAAAATTTACGGGGGGGAGAAGGAAAAAAAATTCACAACTCTCCCGTTATTATCGTGTCACACATTTTTTTTTTCATTTTTTTCCTTTTCCCATTGAAAGAAATTGCCAACAACAGTGTAACCACACCAGCACTAACTGCAGAAACAAAAAAAAAAAAAAGAAAAACAATTGATACAATAAACTAACTAAAAAACCTAATCCAAATCAATCACTTTAACAAATTATTTATTATTTTAATGTAATCGTCGACGACAAAGGTAAATATAAATATATATATAAAAACGAAAATATTAATTATGTATAGACTTTTATAAATTTTTAACTATTCACCGACGTTATCAAACAAAATTAAACTGATTTGAAAACAAAAACAAAAAAACAAAAAAAACAAAAAAAAAAAAAGAAAAAGGTACAAATATGAAAATTACGATATATTAGAGGGCTGATACTGTGCCACTCAATATCTACTATCCATAAAATCTTCAAGCCAAGTGCCATTTAGGGAAGCAAGTCTTTGTGTAACAACCAATGGGAGCTAGAGTTTGCGCGTCACTTTAAAACCAACGCCACCTCCTGGCTTGATTTATATCCCTACCTTCGCTACTGATATACGTAAATAAGCCAAATTAAAATTGTTATTAGGTATATATATATATTCTTTGTTTACAAGAATTTAAATAATATTAAATAATCGAACGATGCTAAATAATATAAAACTCAATAAAATTTTTTTTCTTTTCAAATCTCTAGCTTATTATTACTGAAAGTATAACTCTATTAGAATTATTAAAACTTATGCTTTTACTATTTAACAATTTTAACGACGACAACGATAATAATTTCGATATTGATGTTAAGTAATAAATTAATGAAATGAAATCGATATAAATTACATTTTAAAAATTTCTATAACAATTGAGAAAAAATAAGAAAGAAGCGAGGGTTTAAAGAAAACAAGACGAAATGTGTTCATAGTAAATCAACATGGCGACTCCGCCTTCTTGACACAAGCAAAGACAAAAGATATTTTAAAATATCAAATTATTAATTTAAATTACTTCATTCTCCTGAATACAATCAACCGGATCGTAATTGATTTTTCTACTGTCGCTTTTCACTCGCGACTTTAACCTTAAACGTTACAAAATAAAAATAAAAAAATAAAAACTAACACCTTACTTCACTATTAAACACAACTCAAAATGATTGACGTTTGGATAATGACTGCAATGGCCGCTCTTATTAGTTTAAATTTTTCCCGCTACGTGACTAGAAAAGCGCTACTGTAAATAATACTTGAGAAACAATTGCTTTTAAAATTAAACTAAAATTATATTTGCAATGGCTTTTTCTTATTTAATTTTTATAGATGTCTCTGCTGTAAAAAAAAAAAAAAAAAATTTTAACAGAAGTTTTTTTTTTTTTTTTGGAGAAAATCTTACTTAAAATATAACTATTCAAATTCTGTGAAATCCATTCCAAAAAAAAAAAAAAAAAAAATTAAATTAATTTTTTATGCGAACGTTTAAAACCTTACTAAATAAAAATACGTTACAGCAAAAATTGAAAATTTAAAAAAATCCTTGAAATATTTTTATGAAAACAAAAGAAATGACAAAGAAAATTATTTTTTTTTTAAATGAAGAAAAAAATAAATTTTGTTTTAATACAAGCGCAACTTAAAACAAACGTTTTTAATAATTTTTTAGGTTTTTCGAGAGCCATACTTTCTGTAAATATAATAGCAAAATAAAGAAATTACTGAGCAAGCATGGTTTATTTCTTAGAAAGCAATAAATAATTTTATTTTCGATGTACTTATATCAATTACTTAAAAAGTTTTAATATAATTTATTTAAAATTACTACGTAGAATTTTTTTTAAAAATCAACTTCTATTTTAAAAATAGAATATTTGACGTCTATGCTATTTATTATTAGCCGCTAATTAAGTTGGCAACATTTCTATTTTGCCGATTGTAATAATGGCGAAAAACTTATGGTGCAACAAAATTTAGTAATTTCTGGTCATATTTTGTTAAGAGGTGTCATGGCGGTTTGTCTAAAGCGCTTTTTTAAAAACAATGGTTCTGGTATATTAACAACTCGAAAAAATCAAAGAACTAATTGTTTGGGTCAGAAATCTTTCGGTGCCACAGAACCTTTTTATGGAGAGGTAGTGTATGTTTTGATTACCTCTCAATGGTAAATTTCATTAATCAATAATTTATTTAATTGTTTTTTTATTTATTTTAATTTTTATTTTTTTAGGGGATTAGAGTTAATATTTCATCATCTGGCATCTCTTTTGGCCGTAAATTTAAAACAAAAGTAATTAAAAAAACCTACCCAATTAGTTCTGCCTTTCCAGTTTGTGATAAAAATATTAACGTTAGTTTATGTATGAGCGTTAAAAAAAATAATTACTTAAATGAAAATAAATTTGAATTTTTAAAATTACCTAATGTAGATTATTGCACCAAAGAAAATAAAGCCTATAAAATGGATGAACAAAAAGACTTAGGTAATTCTGGCAAGGCAGGTCCTGATCAAGTATTGAATGTATTTAATGTACTCAGCAATGATGTAAGACATTAAATCAAATTTATTTAATTTAATTTTTTCGATTGCATTTTGTTTACAATAAAATAAATTTCTTGCAGCTACCTAAATTATTTGTTAAAAGTATGAATTATGACATTTATCATCATAATATTATATTTGAAAATAATATTAAAGGAGTCAAGACAGTGTAGGTTGCTTATTATTTTATTTAGTAAGGTATTATGTGTGTAAATTAAATAAAAATTACAATTTAAGTCTAATTCATTTTTTTGTTTTTGTTTTTAGAGGGCTGTTTAATTATTCAAAACAAATCTCTTTATTAAGGGCAGTTGGTCATATAAAATTTGCATATGTAAAGTTTGATGTATTAAAAATAACTGCACACCCGGAAGATGGTACAGTTAGGGTTAGATGGAGAATTAGAGGTATTCCAAATTATAGAGCTTTAATGTCATTTTTAAGCTTCATTTCATCTTTTAATGCCAAGCAGTTGGATGGGTATGAAATCTACAATATTTTTTTATTAATGAAAATAAATTTTTTATGATTTGAATTATTGTAAGGAAATTATTTTTTTTTTAGATGGTATGATGGTTTTTCCATATTTTATGTCGGTTCAGATGGGCTTATTCACAAACACACTGTTGACAAGGTATTAGATTTTTTTCATTTTGTGTTTAACATTTGTATTGATTTACAGTGATTTTTCATCGAAGGTAATTTAATTAATATTTTCAGATGATTCCCGATAGTGAAGAAAAAGTTTCCAACATCCAAAATAATTTGGCAGCAAAAATTGCACTAGTATTGGGGGTTATGATGAATGATATTTCATCGTCAAATTTTTTTAAAAATAATGTACAAAATGATCAAGTTGTAACTAAATTCCTTAAAAAATTTGAAGATGATCATCTCTTTAAAACGAAACAGCTTGAAACCAGATTTGTTAATTAATAAAGTTCAAAATATGTCGTCAGATAAGTTTAATTTAAAAGTTAAATTTTAAAATATTCTTTTAAAATGCTATTGTGACATTTAATATTCAATATGTTTATAGAAGTGTTAATAGATTTATTTATTGTAAAAAAATAATTATTTGTATTTAATTTTATGAACTATTCAAAATAGGTAAAAATTCACAAAAAAAAAAAAAAAAAAAATTATAATTTTTTTTTTAGCCGTCAATTTTTGAAGATGTTAATTTAAATCCAGGATATAAATTTGTACCACATGAACACTTACATCCTACAAACATAAAAAAAAAAAGGAAAATATTAAAAATATTTATTTAAATAAAAAATAATAAAAATTCAAGTTACCTTTAAACCAATTAAAACAACCAATTTTTTGTTTGCATTTTGAATTCGAGCATAGCAATTTCCCCGAATCGTTATTAAAAATATTTTCCATCCATGGCAATGGTTCAATATATATTGAATCTTTGCAAAATATTTCTTTTTCAATATTTTTATTTTCTGCAATATTTGTTTCATCGAGCCAATCGAATTTTTGGTTAGGCACATGAAATAAAACATTTGATTTATTTGCTAATATTTGCCTGAAAATTTTTCAGGTTTGAATTATTTAAAAGATATTTAAAAAATGGATGTGACAAAGTGGAATCATATAAGAAAAAAATCAAATTAATGAATGTATGTGAATACCAAAGAAGGATGCCTCTACTTGATTTTAAAATTTTATTTTATTGTACTTAAAATTTTTAAATCACAATTTAAAATGTTCCTATTAAATATAATAAAAATAATATTTAAAGAATTGAAAAATGAATTTTATTAAATACCTGCACTTTTTACATTTTAAATTTCCTTCATTTGAACTATTAAATGCATAATTTTCAGGTGAAAAATTAATAATATTTTTAATATCACATAACTGTGTGCCTAAATTAATCATTGTATGCCACCTGTACATTTTATAAATAATATCATTTTTATCTAATTCATAACAAAAATATTGATATAATTTAAGTTGAGCCATAAAACTTGGATTTGGATTAATACAACTCCATTTTGATTTACAATAATCAAAACTATGTTTAAGTGTCCAATTTTCCTTTTTCATAAAATAAGAAATTACAATTGTTGAACTTCTTGAAATACCACATAAACTGAAAGTAAAACTTGAGAATTAATAAACTTTAATTTTCGAGAAAGAAATTTAATTTGATTGCATCAATGTCGAACAAAAAAAAAAAAAAAAAAAATTTAAATTAAGTTAATTACAACTCAATAACTCAACAATTTTTTTTACCAGTGAACCAATACTGCACTTTTCTTTAAACCTTCATCTATAAAATTATAAGCATCATCAAAATGAGATAATAAATCATTATTCGGCATATCATCAGCTATAATTTAAAAAAAAATTATATTTTAATTAATAATATATTTCTCCATAATTTTAAATTTAATTAAATAAAAATACCTTTTATGTATTTAATACATATATTTTCATCAGCATAGATTTCTTTTGGAAGTGGAACTGAATTTACAGTTAAAATATGATTAATTTTATTTTTTTTTAAAAATTCTAAATTTGTAGCCGCTGAAATATTACCTAAATGACAATTGCTCTTAGAAATTTATATTTAAAATTTCTTTAATAATTATTACGTGTAAATTAATAAATACCTTGCCACAATCTATTTTCGGAATGAATAAGACCAAAATCAAACGCAAGACTATCGTCATTTAATTCAATAAGTACCATTTTTTCAAAATTAAATTTTATTTTTAGGAAAACATGTTTTATTTAAAACTTAAAAGTACGTTTTAAAACATGTATCAATTGATAATAATAATAATAATAATTAAAATAGAGGTTACGGAAATAGTTTAAATTGACATATAGTACCATTTTTATATTCTACTATTAAAATATTATAAAATTTTTTTATAATTTTTTTCTAGAAAATAAATTTAAATAAAAATTTTATAAATATGTATTTAAATTTATTAAAAAGGATTATGAGGAAATATTAATTTACAAATTGCAAATTTGACCGAAGTGAAATATTTATTTTTTTAATAATTCACTACGTTTTCACTCGTGAAACTCAATAAAAAATAATGTAATTAAATTGTTGTGATTTTAACATTAACATTGATGACGACATTATTGATCTTGAAATAGTCGTCGTGGTCGCCATTTTGTCGATTGTATTTTAAATATTTGAAACTAAGGGGACGTTTTTATCGGAAATCATCTACGTTTATTTAGTTTTTTAAGAATTTAATTAACATTTTCTAGTTTTTACCCACTTGGACGGACCAGAGTAAGTAGTTAATTCACTCATGTATTTTAGTTTAATATCTATCTTATGTAAAAATGCTTTTGCGAATCACTAGCCTAGTAGATACAAAATGTAGCCATCTTTTCATGTCATTTAAATCATTTTGACGTATTAAAAACAATCGTATTAATTTATTAATTACATTGTATATTATGTTTTTTTTTATTGAAAATTGTTTTAATTTGTGTATTAGCATTCGGAATATTTGGTCAATCACCGGCTGCAATTAAACGTAGCTTAAAATGGTTAATTATTTATAAGCTTAATGGCTTTATTTATTTTGTTTATTCAAATATTTTCATTTTGAAAAACAAATAATGCTCGAACTTTATTTTTGATTTTTTATGCAATACTATGTTTTATAATTTGACCTTTGTTTTCCTAAATTGAAAGTTCTAAACGAGTATAGACCTGGATGATTCAGGCATTCAACGTCGTCACTTCCCCCCGTTGTTAGTATTTTCATGTTCTTGGTAAAAAAAAAAAAAAGAAAAGAAAAGAAAAAAGAAAAACATTATTTTGTATCTTAATAAATTTTTTTATACGCTTTGCAAATAGTATTTTTACTAACATTGTTTTTAAAATTAAAAATTAGTTCTAAAAAATTTAATTTAGGCGTTGTTTCGAAATAGTTTTTAATTGTCAAACTAGTATTGTTTTTTCATTGTGTTGAAATAATACTAAAAAAAAATAATAATAATTTTTACGTATTGTAAAAAAAATTTTATAATTTTTGTTTACAAAAACATTAAGTTTTGACATTTAAAAAAAAAAAAAAAAAAAAAAAAAAAAAAAAATAGTTTATGGAGAATTATATCGGTTAATAATGTTTTGTAGTTTTATTGTCTATACGTAATGCTTTGTGTTGTTAAATTTAATGGTGAAATAATAAAAAAATTTTCATTATTTAAATAATCTTATTATTTTAAAACTGTGCATAATAAATGTCAATTTTTTTTTTATTTAAGTAAAAAGGTTCGTTCCACGGGTCTGTTTGAGCTAAATGGTTGCCTGCGGACAGCATGTCTACTCTGTCGGGGATAGCTTCAAAAGGGGAGAAAGGAAAGTCAAAATATCAGTGTTTGGATATAAATAATCTCTATAGGGTAACTTGTTAATTTTTTCTTTTTTTTTTTTTTTTCATATTTTTTTTTTGAAAATAGTATATAATATAATAGTATATAATAGTTTTTTATAAGACCATATCAGAATATGTCATGCGATAAGATATAGTTGATTGGGTTTTCATTTTTAAACAAATTTTTTTTTTTATGTTTTATTTTTTTATTTTTGTTTGTAATTATTTATTTAAAAATTAATATTCAATAGTATATTAATTTAATTTTAGTTATTGTCAAATTATTTAGTAATTTAGTTTTTTATTTTAGTATTTTAAAATTGGCAATCTTGCAGGTATTATTCGAAGGTCAGTTTCTTTAATTTAAATAATTTTTATTTTAACTTTAATTCGGTTTCCTTTGTACTTTTTTTTTTTTGAAAAATTTAATATTTTTTGCTGATTAATAATTTTTGTTGAGAGTTAAAAAAAAAAAAAAAAGATAGTTTTTTTTTAATTTTTTATGTAACACTTACTAACAGGCTTTCTTAATTTTTCAAGTTCTTATTGTAATTATGTTTATTTAAAAAAAAAAAAAAAAATATATGGTCAAATTACAATACGATAAAAAGAATATGTATTATGTATGAAAGTTGATTTGAAATTTTCTGTTTTAATACTATAATTAATTTTTTTTTTTTTGTTTTTAGGGAGAATCTTTAGAACCAAGTCAACAAAAAAGTACAGTACAACGTTTCAAACATGGGATGCAAAGTTTGGGCAGAGTGCCCTCAGCCAGACGCCCACCTGCTAATTTGCCCAGCTTAAAATCAGAAAGTAGTGGTAGTGAGCCAGCTGTAAGTTTAGTTCCGACCGGTGGTGCAGGATGGGGAAACAAAGCTGGGGAGACTCAGTCTCCCACTACGAGTCAGTCAAATGTGCGTTTTTTTTTTTTTTGAATTTCCTATCATTTTTAATAATAATGATTTTTCCGCATGACTGATTTTTATAAGAATATTTTCAAATAATTTTTAGGCAACGACAAATTCAAATGCAGTTCAAACAAGTGCTGCAAGCCATGTTCAAACAGTTTCTACGACACCTTCGAATTCAGTTTTACCGTCACAGCCAACAGTGCACACAACTGCCCACGAACAGCCTGTTGCGACTACTACACATGCAACCATGGGCGACAAATCGTGGAGCAGTATTATGGCAGGGGAAGCTGGCACCCATCCTCCCAGTTTTTTAGCTCACCAATCACCCCTATTTCAACAGGAATTCCCCAAATTATCCAGTGGAGACGGGCAAAATGCTCAAACTGGACAAAAAAGCGGATCAGATACTCAGTATGGTCCAGGACCCAGTCTACGCCCGCAAAGTAAATTATGTTTTTTTTTTTTTTTTTATTAATTTCTTAAAACTCATTACAACATTACTTTATGTTTTAAAATTTTTTATAAATATTTTTTCAGCGGAAGGAAGCTGGATACAGGGAGGTGGGCGCACTCAAACAGGTGGAGTATCGGGTACAAGCGGGTCACAATCTCTGGCCCAGGGCCCCCTTCCTCATCATCCAGGCGTAGTAGATCACGGTGGAGGACGGAACAACTTGGGACCACATCCGCCTCCTGGTGTAGCTATGGGCCCGGGAGGCCCCGGAATGGGAATCTCTGCTAATGGACCAACCATTCATGCACCTCCAATGCATATTCCTCCAGGAACATCACCTCAATTTAGAACAATGCCACCGATGGTATAAATTTTTTTGGTTACGAATTTTATAACGGTTTTAAATTACTAATCTACCATCGTAAAATTTTTATTTATATTTCAGGTATATAGAACAAATTTTCCGGGGGCCTTTCCTCCTAGCTTTCAAGCCGGTATGGGGCATCCACGCCAACGATTTCCCGGCAATTTTCTTTCGGAAGGAAGGTTTGTTGGACGGCCTATTGATGGAGAAGAAATTATTACAAGGCCAATAATTAAAGAAGAAGAATTGAATCATATGGACGATATTGCACGAGATTCCAGCTGGGCAAGACCAGATGAAATAGATTACAAGTTAATAATTTCCCATTTAAAATTTTTTTTTTTTGACAGTAATTTATTACTAATTATTAATGTCTTATTTATATAATTTTTTTTTAGTGAAAAGATAGTTTTTAGTGATACAGAAGATAGTCCACAGGATGAAGATAAAAATAAGGCTCGTCGCGAAGACAAAAAGGATCGTGATAGAGATTCTAAAGATACGTCAGAAAACGAGAAAGACAGAAATCGGATGGACAAAGACCGTAGATCAGTACGTGTGACATTATTTTCAAAAACTGTTGCTTTGTTAATTTTAAAATCGTACTTTATTGATTAATGTAATAAACCACAAAGTTGACAATATGTTATTTACTTTTTAAGGAGGAACGTTCGGAAAAGCGAAATTCTGATGCTACTTCCAGAAACTGGCAATCTTATGGCTATACTAGGTATCCGCCGCCTTCTAAGCCACAACACATTGCTTCAAGAGATAGAGAGTGTGAAGAAGAATCATTGAAGGAAAAGAGAAGATTACAAATAGAATTAGTTGCCGTCGTAACGGAAAGAGCAATTTTAAGAAAGGAAGAAGAGGAAAAAAGACATGAAGAAACTAAAAGGGTTGGTATAAGCGAATTTTTTTTTTTTTTTTTTAACTAAAATGTGAAAAAAATGTTGCAAAAAAAAAAAAAAATATTAATTACAGGCTGCAGCCAAAAAGCTTCAATTATTAGATGAAAGATTAAATAAAAATCATGGAAATGACAAAAAAGATCGCGAAGAAACTCCGACAACTGTTGTACCATTTCCGACTTGGCTCGACAAAAATAGGCAGGGAGATTCTGATCGCGATAGATCTCGAACTAGTAGCGAAGGGAAAGATGACAAAGCTCGGCATGATAGTTCCGATTTTAGATCATCTACACAAGTAATAAAAAAATTTAATATTATTTACTGCGCATTAAATTTTTATTTTAAATTTATATACATTTTGGAATATTTTCAGGTGGATAGACAATCATTTTTAAGAAACGAGAGAGATGGTCGTTCTCGTTTGCCGGGTGATGACAGAGTTAAAAGAGATTACGATGAAAAGGATAACAAATTGCAACCGTCTCATAGACAAGAGCGGTCTCGTCTTGATGATAGAGAAAGAAATGTTCGCTCTGGAGATGGACCTCAAAACTATATAAGGCATTATCAGAATAATGTTCCTCCAAGATTTCTAAAGCAACAGGCTGAACGGAATCAATCGGTTGTGTCTAATAATGTGAGTTCTCACTTAAATTTTTTTTTTTTTTTAAACATATTAGAAGAAAATATTTTTAATTATAATTCCTTATTTCTCTTTAGAATTTTATCAGATCGACAAACTCTCCCCAACCTTCATCACAGGCAGCTTCAAATAATTTTGATCCTCATTGGAGTCATTCCAGTAATTCATTTATTTCTCAATCTTCCTCTCTTCGTAAGTTTTAAATGCTTTTTTAATATAATTTTATTTCTAATAATTACTATCATTAAAAAGGTTTTTTTGTTTTTTAACAATATCAAGCTCCTGGAAATAGAATACTCTCAAGACGATTTAATAGTGAAAGTAGTGAATCAAATACTGATAAAAACAGAAACGATCGGGAATCCGAAGATTGGGACATGCATGACAGGTATAAATCCTCAAGGGATAGAAATTATGGAAAGCATGCTACCCAACATTTTGAGGTTGAACACAATAGACGTTTTCTCGAAAGGAACGATAGAAGGTTAGTTAATTAGTTTATGTAATAAGGACTAGTTAAATTTATGCGAAAATAACGTTTGAAATTAATTATTCACGGTCATTTTTTTAGAGACCTTGATTCCGAGCGAAGTACCGAAGATAATTGGGAGAAGGAAAACAATAGAGATAATAGAGATTCTGCTTCAAGGGAAAAAGATCGTGAGCGACACGTCGTTGATGATCGTAATAAAAACGATGTAAATTTCGAAGATGAAAAGGAATGGAGACAGGGGAAAGAGCGTAAAAACGAAGAAAGGGATACGACAGAGCCAGAGGAAGATAGGGATACGGATAACAGTAGAAAAGATGAAAAGAGAGATGAGCGTAGAGTCGATAGACCTCAGAGGCCTGACAGTAGAGATAGTAGAGCGTCTCGGGAATCGAGAAATTCAAGAGATTCCGTTCGAGATGATAAGTAAGTAATCGCTAAATTTTATAAAAACAGTAAAACTATTATTTTTATTTATTTTGTGATTGTGTGGCTATTATATTTATAATTACAACTACAATAATAATTGTTGTAATATTTATTAGATTGGATGTGGATCATAAAAATTCTAGTAGTGGGAGACCTTTTGGTTCATCAATGATAAAGCCTCATTTCAAAGATGATAAGAAAAAAATAAATGAAAGAAAAGAAGAAAGGGATAAAAAAGAACAAGGAGGGGTAAGTAAACGTAAATGTTTTCTATAGTGTACATGTCATATTTCAACTTTAGAATCCTTTACATTAACAAACAAAAAAAAAAAAAACTCGTGTAACTAATCATCTCATTTCATAAAAAGGTAAAAATGAATAAAATACTTGCTTGTTTAACTAAAATTTGGGGAAAGTAAATTGAATTGACTAAAAATTGTTTTAGTCTTTTTTTTTTTTAAACAGCTTTTATATTACTAACCTTTTTACGCAATCAATATTTTAACCGTTAACTTCATTTCCTGTATGTGTTCTAGCATGGAAAATTGGGTGATGAATATATTTTTGCATTTCCTAACAAACCAAGGCATAGGTTTACTAACGTAAGTAAAAATTAGGTTTTGTAGGAATTTCACCTGTTTTGTTAAAGAATTTAATTTTATAATATTAGGAGTAGTTTACGAGCTTTATTGTAATTTTTAACATTAAAAATTTAGACTGAATTATAAAAACATTGAGTAATATTAATAATAAAAAAGAGAAAATTCTCGAACATTCTCTGGCTTCCTCTAAAATTTGCATGTAAAGCATTAGAAAAGTTATTAAAAATTTTTAAAAATAGTAATGTGATATAATTGTAAATTTTTGCAGCAACGACACGTTCCGGGACCACCAATCACCCGAGAAAAATTAGAAGCTTCCGTAAGAAATGACACGAAGCGAAGCTTGACTCAACTTAAAAGATTTTCCGATGGTAAACGGTCGAGCGAAGAAAAGGAAATTTGGGACAATCAGGGAAATAAAGAAAGGAAACCCAGCGAATTATGGTCTGAATCCACTGAAAAAACTGAAGTCCAAACTACTAAGCAATCTTCAAATGTTATTCCTGATGATAAGAATAATAAAGTGACAACTGCCGACAACAAAGAAGCTGAAAAATCGCAAAATGGTAAATTTTTTTTATAAGGACTTTTAAATTTTTTATTAATATTTTTAATTTTTTTTTTTTTTTTTCATTTTTAGAATCAGTGAAGCAAGAAAATCTAGAAAAAGTCAAAACTGAAATTAAGGATGAAAAAGATAATAAAGTCGAAAAACAAGACGATGACAAAGAAAAGCGGGAAAAAGGTTCCAAAAACCGTGGAAGTCGTGGACGTCCTGAACCTAGGGGAGGTCGACAAGGATGGTCAGTGTATAGAAATAGTCATAGTAATAGAGGTGATCGTCGTAGAAGAGAATCTGGTCGAATGTCCGGTAAATAAATTAATTTTTCTTTTTCTCTCTCTCTCTCTCTTTATAACTGTAATAAATTGTAAATGTAAATTTTTAAGGGCGAAATCGATTTTCTAATCGTGAGTGGAATCGCATGAGTGAATCTGATCTCTCGGGTGATGAAATATCGGCTTCCACTGAATCCGGAAAGGAAGATAAAAAAGTAGACGGCGTTAGGCAATCGAAATCTCGGTCGCATTTCAAAAAAACGGAAAAAGATGAAAGGAACAAAGAGATGAGAAAAGGAGAAATGGGAATAAATAAGGGAAGTTATCAAAGTTTAACCGCTCCACGATTCGATAGGAAAAACGATTATATCGGAGGGAGTCGCGAGGGTTTCGCACCTAGCGGTCAACCTTCGAGAAGAGGACGAGGTTCGATAAGAATGAGAGGAGGTTTAAGTCGTCGAATGGATGGATACGGTCCACCTTCAGCGAAAAGTCCGTTCAGTCATCAAGATGATAAAAAAAATCATTCCGTGGAAAAAATTAACGATGCGGTAACGGAAGAAAAGGGAAGTACCGAGGAAGACAAATCGAAACAAAAACAGTCTCCAGCCTTAAATAATGCGAACGCAGCACAGAAAGGCCCTGTAAATAATGTTAAAACCTCTCAAATACCTCCTAGAATGCAAAAGAAATCGGAAACGGAACAAAGGTAAATAAATTCCTTTTTTTTGTTTAAATGAAAAAATGAATTTCGATCTTGATATGAATTTTTTTTTTTTTTTTAGGGAATCTAATAAAAACAAAAATAATTCGAGCCTTCGTCATCACGGTAATAAGCAAACAACAGATCAAGGTGATGATGCTTGGGAAACAACATCCGAAAATAGTGAAGAAGAACGTAAGGCCGATTCAAGAAATAATCGAAAAAATTACCCTCGACGAATTCCCTACGGTGGTCGTAACGATGGTCTCGGTAATTCGGGAACTCCTGGTTCACGTTCAGATCGTCTCGGTTCGCGTTCCAATTCTAATAAAAAATTTGGTGGTCGCGATAGTCATTTAAATAAAAATAATGAATCGAGTACAAGGCCGCACAATGCTTCCGTTACAAAAGTGGATGCAGTTGGTAATAAAGATGATTTAAATCCGAGCGACGGTAATTCTTCCTTGAACTCAAATCTGGATAAACTCAAAAACGGTGAAGACAAAGGTAAGTCATCATCAGCTTGGTTTTGACTTATTTTTTTCCCATATAAAAGTCTTATATCTTATTTAATAAATAAGATGTAGATATTTACTCGAAAACAATTTTTTAGATTTTGGAGACGGTAGAAACAAATTAAAAGACAATTCTAAACTAGACAGAGACAGGAAAGGTAACCGTGACAGAGATAGAGATAGACGGCATAAATTGACCAAGGATTCTGTTAATATACATTCACCTCACACCGGATGTAAGTTTGACCGTAAATAATTTCCTTTATTAGTGTGTTAATCATTTTTATTTTATTTAAAACTTTAAATATATAATTTATAGCCATGTCATCCTCGATGCCTAAAAACTACGAAAGGAAATCTAATTTGCCTCCGAGATTTGCTAAACAAAAGCAAAATCATCGCGTTCAAAAGCAACAAGCAACGGAAGTTAATGAAGCTAATAAAATGAATCACAACATAAATATATTTCCAATGAAAGGTAAGAATTTAGAGAGTTGATGAAAGTTAAATTTATTTTTACGCTGTCGATTATCATTAAGCGTTTTTATTTTATTTTAGAAGGAGGAGTTACAACTCCTTCCGTAAGTGCTTGGGAAAAACCTCTCCGCTCTACGTCTCCTCCCAAATCCGGTTCCATGCAAATGGTTGTGAATTCATCGGAGCCCATGCAATCGGAAAATAGCAGTCAACGAAGCAGTCCTCACATTCCTAGAGATGCCGTTGACAAAGCTTTGCTCGATGGAAGTTCACCGCCAGTTAATACAATAATTTTCGAAAACACTAACTTTAAGTCTACTCCTAATGATGTTGTTTTAAAAAATCAATTTAATTCTCAAGCGATGAAGCAGCAGAGATGCGACAAAGGTACGTTTGTATTTTAACACTTTTCCAAGTCCCATGGCTCTCCAAAATGGCCATTTTTTTTTTTTTCGTGAGGTAAATATTTCGTGGTGGTTGTAAAAAAAAATTATTTGGTTATCGTTAAAAAAATGTATCTGTAGGTGATAGAAAAATAAGTGAAGAACCTGAAGATATGCTTGGATTTTCAGCGGCCAAAACGGATCTGACGGCGACGTCAAGCGAAAGAGATGTTAAGGCTTCGGATTCTTCAATGATTTACGGGAAGACGGAAGATAATTCCGACATGAAATTGGATTTTCAATTTGAAACCGAATTGTCTCAGCTAACTGACGATAAGTCATCGAAGGGAATGAGAGATTTGGCACGATCTATTCAACAATCTACCATGTCTCCTTCAACGGCAGATTTAAACTTTAAGATAGCTTCGGTAAAAAAGGTTAGTCGTAGTCTTTATTAGTAGATGGAAAAAAATTATTAATTTGAATTTTAAAATTTAGTTTTGATTATTGTTTTTTTTTAAAATAATCATTAAATTCAGTAGTAGCTGTAATAATTATTCTTAAGTAAAAGTTAACTGGTTTTTTTTTTTTTTTTTTTTTTTTAACTTTCAGGTTTGGGAATCTATGCATACAGTTTCGGAACATGCCGAAGACGGGAATAATGTATCAACATTTTCTCCAAACTTTTCTCCCGACTCAACAATGGATCCTTCTTACGCGAAAGCGGTTGATGGATCTGTGGTTGTAACGGATGATGGTAGTGAAGTTGTGTACAATGCTGGCCCTCAAATTCAAGTTAATGTCAATTACACAACTTCAAAGACTGATGTGTCTTCAACGACTAGTAACGTTTGCAAGGTATATTAAATGATTTTAAAGTTAAATTTTCGCGTTTAAATTTATCATCGACCTTAATAATAAGTTATATTAAAATTTTCAGTTATATTGGGCATGTGATAAATTTTTTTTTTTTTTTTTGTCTATTTTTAGTTAATAAATCATGAAAAAAAATTTTTTATTTTAGGTAAAGCCTCAGCAGCAGACCGTTTTAAGTTCAGGGCATTCTCCCATCGGACATTCAGGGCAATCCCCTCTTAATCACGGTGGGCCAATCTCACCGCCTCCGTATAGTACGCCTCAAGCTGGTCAATTCAATTATCAGCAGGTGGTGTACAATAAAAGCTGTTAAAAATAAAAAAAAATACTTTCATTTCTTAATACTTTTTTAAATGTTACGCATATTTGTGCGTAATTGAATTTATTTTCGTTGTAATTTTCAGACGAGTATGGGTAATACGGCGGCTCAATTTGGTGGAATATCAGCCATACCTTCTCCTCCTACAGTTCTTTACAATTCATCGACTCAACTTCCTCCGGCGTACCAAACATTCCAAATTGACGGAACTCAAGTTCTCAGTAGTCAAGCTAGATCCCAATTTTCACAGTTTCCTCCCTACGGTTTGTCTCAGGGTATCGGTCAAACGTCTGCGTTCAGTCAGCAATCGGTTTACTTACACCAAACGGCTCCCCCGACGGCGGCTCCCGATTTGTATCAGTCGTCTTTATCTCAATTTCGTATGCAGGTAATAAATAAATTGCGCATGAAAAATTTTATTTGCTTTTTTTTTTTTTTTTTTTAAATATCGCTTAATGAATAATTTTTTTTTTTTTTAGCCTGGACATTTTGGTCAATCTCAATTAAACAGCAATCCTAACACAGTCTTGATTTCGTCTACTGCCAATTCTTTGCCAATTACTGCTACCGTAAAATCTTCTTCTCAACCGATAGGAGCCATTGGGACAAAAGGAGCAACTCCTTTTCAGCAAAATCCACTGCCATCTCAACACTCTCAAGTATTGTTCTTTTCAATTTGTACAAAAATCACAAAGTGCAAAATAGGTAACATATAGTAACCTAATTATTATTTAAATTCAGTTATACATACCTTATGATCCCGTTCAACTGGGCGTAAATCAAA